GTGCATGAAGATTCTGTATTCCCTTGATTTTGGAAGGGAAAACAAGAGGCAGGAGTCATCAGCACTGTGCTCTYGTTATCTGGGTGTTGCACTAATTATAGCAGGAATTTAACTCTGTTCTACCAGTGGCTCTAACCTATTGGAAATGTCATGAGATCGGGGTTTGGAGATCCATAGGCTGCTTCTATTGGAGCCCTTGGACAATCTACTTCATTCTGTGTTCTTTGTAGAGCTCTAGGACTAGAACAATATTCCTGGCATCTCTTGTATGTTGAAATGAAGCCTCATCACCTTTTCTTTCTTTTAGCTTCTCAATCCTTTTGTGCCAAGATCTTGGCATAAAAACCTTATTGCTACCATGATGCCTAAGGTTTGGTTTTTTGTTTTTTGGTTTTTTTTAAAGAGGCTGTTATTACCCAATTGATCAGCACATATTTTTGAGCTGGTTTCTGGGAGGTTTTTGAACGATGTTTGGGATCAGCATTAAGTCCCTCCTCCTTGCCAGTCACAATGCAGCTTTGAAATAACACTGAGTCAAGACATGCTGAAAGGACAGCAGATTTGGAGATGAAAGTCAAAGGTTTCTGAGTTCTTCAGGYCTAAGGGTTATTTGGGAATGAATTTTTGGAGACAGGACTGTTTCAGGCTCCTACAATCAAGACTGATGCTTGGTCACAAATTGTGAGAGAAGGTTTTTATCTCAGAGAACTGCTCAAGTAAGTAGGCAAGGCTGACAAGAAGTGGGTATAGAAGTGAAGAGGACTCAGTTCAGARGCCTGTACAAAGGTCCAGTGCCACTGGAGATACCCTCACATAGCTCTGATATCCATGTGGATCTCACAGATATGGCTCAGAACTTGCAGAAATCCTGTTCCTACCAGAACAGTGGGAGCTCAGGTGAGGTACCTTAGAGCACCCGGAATGTCAGCACATTCCTCTGTGTGGGTGGCTGGATCAGCCCTCAGAACTCCCTTAAGCCTTGCAGAGATTAATTAGATGTAGACACCTAAAGTGAGGGGTTTGTGAGATGATTTCACACTTGAAATTACTGGCCCAAGGTCAAAAAGACAACAAACAGCTCCAAAATCAGAAAATACCCTAGTTTGCACCCAGATAGGTGGAATGTGGCAGATTTGGCTCTCCACTYGCTTCAGTCACCTTCACCACACTCCTGTGCGAGAGATGAAGCTTCCCAGCTGTCCATTACAGCTCTGGGAACTGAGGCACGGAGAGGGTGGATGACTTTTCTGAGACCCCATGGATTAATTAAACTTAAAAATCTATGCTGGTAAAACTAAAATACTGGGGTTTAAGACCGTAGTTTACACAAGAGTTGATGCAATCTCCCAGTCCTATGCACAGAGACAGGCTGCTCAGTTCCTCTGCCAAAATTTTGTTCCTGTAATCTGTTCTAAACCTTTCAAGGTCTGTGCAATTGGTTGCATGGTGCAAAAGTGAGAAACAGCAAATTGAGAAACAGAATCCCAGAAGCAGCTTCAACTGCTTCACTGTGCATCTTGAGGACTTCTTTTTGTTCTAAACAGATGTAAGTTTGGAGCTTTTCATGCACAAGGGCTTTGTGGACTAGACCCAAATGTACTGAAAAGTTTGACGAGGTTTTCAGAGTGTTTTAGCGATGGCTGATTGTCACCTGAAATCACTGTATTTCCCCAGAAGCATGTATCAGCTGGTAATTGYATATCAGCAAAACAAAGTAATTCARTTATTATTCTGTGGGAARTTCTATTGCTGTAAAAACATCTATTACTGTGTTACCCATTGTTGAGAGAGCATTCTTAGAATTAACTATAATTTATTTCTGTTACGAGCACTAGAGAGCTGAGTGATTGTTAAAAGCGAGAATTAGGGGAGATGACATGAACCTCCCTTGGCAACATATTCACAAAGATGCCATTTCAGGAGTTCAGAGCTTTCTATGGAGGACACTTTTTCCAAGGAGCAAGGTGGTGCTTCATCTGCTGAAAGTGCTGACAATCTGATCCTTGAACTTCTCCTGATTTGTAAATGTGTTATCCCAAGAGCAGCTTGATGTAGATCTGAGCTGAACAAGAGATTTGTGRGTTTGTCACCTTCCTTCCTGTTCTGTGGCATCCTCAGCTCTGATATTCACCTCTCATTGAAGCCAGTTCCATACACAAGTTACCAGTAATGTTTATTACCTACAYCTAAACCACTACATATGAATATCTGCAGGCCACAAACCCTTGAGCAGTTTGACTCAGGTGAATTGCATAGGAAGTGAATTTGATGCCATTCAGGTGTTCCAAGGGCCAGGTGTGAGCAAGTTTTAGAAGGCATCTGGCCACAAGAAGTCTTTGAGTGTGTGTTGGTAGTTAAGGTTGTGGTTAGGTCTCCTTTGACCCAGGTTGAAATTCCTGCTGCTGTTACTTGGTGTTTTGTTGGCTTGAGCAGGTTGGTGATATCATTTCAAAGTGTGTTCTKCTGCGAAAGGATCACAGAATCACAGAATGGTTTGGGTTGGAAGGGACCTTAAAGATCATCTTGCTCTTCACCCTGGGGAAGAGAAGGCTTTGGAGTGACCTCATTGTGGCTTTGCAGTGCCTGAACGGAGCCCACAGGAAAGATGGAGAGAGACTCTTGACCAGGACCTGGACAAGGGGGAATGGCTTCACACTGACAGAGAGCAGCTTTAGATAGGATATTGGGAAGAAATTCATCCCTGTGAGGGTGGTGAGGTCCTGGAACAAAGCCAAACCATTCTATGATCTGCCAAATCTCTGCTGTGGTGTTCAGAGCAGCACCATGATGTAGTCTCGATATCCAGATGAGACTGGCTCCCTGCTCCTTGGCTTTTTCAAGTACTGAAACAATTCTTTTGGTAATTTGTGCTTTTAGTACAGCTTTGCTTGAAAGCAGCAGCATTCAAAGGACCAAAGAGCAAAAGCTGCACTGTCTAGAAGCCCTCAGGAGTGGTTTACTGTTGGTACTTGCTATTGACAATAATTTTGGGGCAACCACTTATAAGTTATGCTGGAGATAGCCAGGTTTTTCATTTGTTAAGATATTTTTTAATGTTTGATGGAGTTGTCTGAGCTGTCACACACTCTACATAACATGTTCCTTTTTACTGTCGCCCATGTTCCTGCAATACCCTTGCCAAGTCCCAGAATGAAAAGCCCAATTCACTGTGGCATGCAGAGCTCCCCTAATACTATTTCTGTGAAGGAGCAGTGTTGTTGGGTTTTTTCCTACTGAGTCCTTGCTGAAAGTGAAAGCCCTGAGGCTTTTGTGTGAGGTCCCGCAGAGCCACCCTCACAGTTGCACTGACATTCATCAAAGGACACCCATTCCTGGAGTGTAAAAGCACCATGTTACTGATGACATCTCTCCATCTGCCAGCCGTGTTAGTGAACATCTGCAACAGCCCCACTGGGAATACTTCAGGAACAGGGCAGGTTTTAAAAAACTAAATACATTTCATGGTATTAAAAAAAATATCTCATTTATGTGAACAATAAAAGAGTTTGCCCCAAATGAAATTTGTGAAAAGTCACTGCAGCTGATTTTTTTTCACCAAGGTAAAAGAAGTTTGATGGAAAAGTTTTGTCTGTAAATCTGAGTCTTATACATCAATATAAATAGCTCAACAAACACTACTTAAATTACCAGACAGATATAATGAAATACAGTCAGTGATAGAAATCACTGATCTGATTTATTACTTCCCTCAATTCACACTGATAAATCTCCAAACCATTTTAAGGATTGGGCCACCAAAAGTATAGAAATGAAACCTGCTGGTTCATGCATTAGAAAACTTCAAGAAAGGGCCTTTATAGGAAGTTCTGTGAGGACAACAACAACAACAACAACAACAACAACAAAAAGCAGCATGAAGTTCACTATAATTGTAAAGTTTGCTATAATTGTCTCCCTGCACCTGGGTCAGCAAAAAAAATAGATGATAGCAAAGGTCAGTTAAACCATCTTATAAACTGGGTTGCCTTTCTAACACCCTGACCCCCAAAATTCAAACCCCTCACCCTAAAGCACCTTTCCCCAAAACATGTCTTTAAATTCTTTCACAGATCTCACAAATCATAGAAACACAGTAGTTGTCCAGCAGCATCAGCACATGATGTGTTTCAGTGAAAACTCCCAGCACATGATATGCCTAATTCCAAAAGCTGCTTTGAGAAGCTAATCTTTGGTGCTTTGCCCTTCAGAAGGGCTTGTGATGGATCTGGTGGCAGACACAATGCCAGGGTATGAGAAATGGTGCTACCCTCTATTTTGTTTGGAGTTCTGCTAATAAACTGCACCCACTGGGAAAGCAAGAGAATATATCCACACCCCAGGTAACCCCAGGTGACCAAGCAGAACCCCATCACTTCTCTTTGAGCTGTTTGTTGGAGGGTGGGGGTCCAGGCTCCTGGTTCTGCGTTGGTACCCCCATATGGGGCTGAATCACCGGGTGCGCTGCTCATTGTGGCTCCCTCCTTTTTTCCTTAGTGCAGTTGCTTGAGATCACTTGGCATCACTGTCACATCCCTCCAAATACTTTCCTGTATCTTTAAAAATGGTAAATGTGAGTCTCCCGGAATACAGGCTGGATATGAAGGGGTAACTCCAGCTGGGTTTTCTCTGCCTTCCGTGAGTGAGCAACTGAGTGAGTGAGTGAGTGAGTGAATGTTTGTTCCTGCTGTTCTCTGACCCCGTATTTGGTGGTTTGGACCTATTTTGAGCACACCAAAGGCTTGTTGACAGCCCCTTGTGCTGGGCTGAAGGAGGACCCTGAACACACTGGTTTCCAGGCGTGATCCCCCATCTTTTACTGCCTGCAAAGCTGTCGTGCCATGTCCTGAAGAAACCCGCAGAAGAAATGCTGGCCCGGTTCCCGCTTGGCCGGGGTCCTGAGCATGACACTAAAGGTCAGTGGTTCACTCCTGCGGAATCCCAGCCCTCTTGGGCATTTATTTCCCTCCTCGTTCCAGTCCCCTAATCTGATAAACCGTGTGGGGAGAGCAAGAGAGGGCGGGGSAGGAGCGTGTGATGTAACCTCTGACTCCGGCAAAGTTGTCCGACAATCCCGCGGTGCCTGCCGCTCCTGGCGGGATTTTGCGGCCGCCGCTGGGACACTGAAAGAGAGGCAGGAAGGTCCAGAGGGGTGTGAAGATCCAGCACGACTGTGGGAGACCCGGCAGGTGATGCTCTCGCCTCCCTTGTGAGAAGAAGCTGAGCGCAGTCCGCAGTGTCCTGTTTGCCGCTCTGACCTGGGGCCAGCCCTGGACCAAGGGATGCTCGGAGCCGAATGCGCTGCTGCGGTGAGTCTGCTCCTCTGCCCGGCTTTTCCCGACGCTTTGGGGGGGAWGGGAAGGGCGTGGAGTGAGCTGGAATGCGTGTGGATTGTTTGAGGGCATGTAACCGTACGAAATCCCTGCTGGATGGACTGTGAGCAAGCTGATAATCACCGACTAATCCCGGCGCTGGCAGATTCCACCCGGATTACGAGGGTGTGCTTCTGTCTGTGTGTCCGGGTGTGCGAGACCTGCTGGGGTCCCGGCCTTTGTGCCGGGGGAACGCCCCAAAAAGGGGCTCGGCTGCAAGGATGAACTGCAGGAGAGAAGTTTGGGCGAGTGCGTGTCTGTCACCGACACYCTGTTGGGTKTGGGTSTCACAGTCTGGGAGGAGGAGTCARAGRGAAAATGTGCTTTTCCCAGGGCCARCAGGAGATGGAGCTGGGAGGGAGCTGGCCCTGTGTATTTGCTGATGGAGAGAACTGGATCAGGTAACACAAACTGTTGAAACTAACTGCRGAAAAGTATCTTCTAGGTGAACTTCCAAGCGCCATTGAAAACATCTCCCTGCTAAAGGAGAGAAGAGGAGAACGATCATAATATATGTATATATAAGTATTCCACTTTATTTACTATATTATGGAATCTATGCCAGATAAAACAAATTTCATGTATAAAATGGGGCCTCAGAAAGCCAAATAATCAGCTCTGTTCACATCTCTGTAGTTGCAGCAGCACTGATTTAGTCCCTAGCTGGTKTCTAGCACTGGGAGTGTCCAATAATACCTGCAGAAGGATGCAGTTATGCCACCTGGTGTGTGTCCTCGTGTAAATGTTGTGCCCACACTGCTTTAGGAAAAAAATACCATGTGACTGATTTCCCAGTGGTACATGAAGCTCCTGGCTCACATGCAGCTGCTCAGAGCATTTTTTAAAGATAAAACCTCTGAAATATCGAAATCTGGGAATTAAATAATGAAATATTTCAATTTATAAATTAAAAAAATTGGAAGTTTAATAACTAATCATTACAGAAGGGGTTCCCTTTCTTTCTTTTTCTTAAATGGGACTTTAATCCTGGTTTAAAAGTTACATTTTTAGAAAGCAAACTGTTGTCYTTTCATTAGCTGTAGTCCTGACCCTTTTTCTAAGGACCTTCCTTATTCTAGACTCAGTCAAGCTAATTTCTTTCCAGAACTTGTGATGGCTTCAACTTGGCAGAAAACTCAGGAGTTCTACAGATGGGTCCTTGAAAGTGGAGGTAGGTAGAGATGCTCTCTAAAATGGGAATTCCTCCCTGAACAGCACGATCATGAAAACCAGACCTAGAAGGGATGCAATCTTTATACCAGCCCACATCTTTTTCACTAGGCAGATTTCCACAGGACGAGGAGCAATAAATGCTTGCGAATGCCTGTTAAGTCTGGGATACCAAAGGAAGTGAATTTTTAAAACTGCGTATTCATGGGGAAGGCTGGTAGGCCAAAGTTAATATTTTGGGGTTGAAACTTTTAATGATGCCAGTCAAACCTGTTATTAAATGAAATATTGACAGAAACCACTCCTCAGTGCTTGAGATTTGCCACATTGCAGTGAGGAGACATCAGATATTCAATAGCTGGAGGTTCAGTTTGGTCCCAAAGGGCTCTGGTGTATCCCTGGGTCTAAAGAAAAGTCACAAAATGCCATGAAGGTAGAATGGCAGGCCTGCATGGTGAGTTTGGCAGGAGGAGGACAGGGGCCATGATGCCGAAACTGGAAATGTTTCAGGACTTGAATTTCAGAAGAGACTGGGAATTGGGATTCAGGACTTTTGACAAACAGTTAAACCAAGAAATGGAATACCAGAGAGCTCCTGACACAGCCCATAACAGCCACAATAAAGAACTGGGAGGTTTAGAAGGAATGGAGATTAACAGTGTTKTCCAGACTGGTATGGCATTTATAAAAAAAATAAGGGAGTTCAGCAGAGCAGTGATCACACTGGGAACATGAAAGGAAAGCATGAATGGCAGCTGGGATGTTTTTGTGGATATAATTTATCCTGGGCAGGATTAGGAGGAGGTGGCATGACAGAAAATCTGTTGAGTTTCCCTTTGCTGTAGGACTGAAGAGCTGTTTTAGCAGGGTTAAATGTTTTGGCATTTCCCAGAGAATTCATGCTTTTAAGAGAGTCCACTTTACGAGCAGGTATAAAAATGAAGGAGTGGAGAAYTTCAGATGTCCTGAGGATTCAAGGWAAGTAACACCAGTGATTGAAACACTTTTATTGTTTAGCTGTAAAGATTTATTCTCCTGAAGGGCCATGCTGCTTTGGCTGCTTCTGTGCATCCCAGCACAGTGTCTTGGATCACTCCTTTTGCCCAAGGAGGGCTCCAGCTCATCCCAGGAAAGATCTGCCCTCTAGTACTGCAGTCCATACCCAAATGTTGTGCTAMAACCTTTGTGCTAAAGCCTTTTGGGCAGAGGGTGGCATGTGGAACTCCAGGGCAGGAGAAGGACTGTGATGCAGCTTTGCAAAGACACAGAGACACCAATTTTTTTTTTGCCAGCGAGCGTGCTGAAGGGAAGGAATTAAATATAACTAAATAAATCTGCCCTGCAGTGTATGGAGGTACCAGCTTTGGCTGTGTGTTTTGCTTTCCAGATCCAAGGACAGACCCATGGCTGCTGGTCTATTCTCCAGTCCCTGTCACCCTTGTCTTTGTGTCCTACCTCTTGGTGGTGGCGCTGGGACCCTCCTGCATGCATCAGCGGAGGCCGCTGGAGCTGCGGGCTCTGCTGGTCACCTACAACCTGGCCATGGTGGCATTATCCAGCTACATGTTTTATGAGGTGAGGATGACTGCTAGCTAGTCATCTGGAAAGGGTTTGAATTCCAGAGCTGTTTGAACAGCTTTTGCTGATGGATTCTGATGAAGGGAGCTGGCTTGGGCATGTCCGTGTTTTGCCACAAGAGGAGCAGTATTGCCCTGCTGTACTTTATTTCCTCCCATTTCTTAATCCTCCTGTCATTCATAAAACTAACATGGAATTTCATTCATCCTGAATGAATGAATTGCAAGTTGAGATATCCCCATTAGGCACAGAGTGTATGGAGGATGTGGAATGGCCTCATTTTGCCTCGAGTCTGGCTGTTGATGGATCCATGTCCGAGGATGAGAACCACTGGTCTAGAGGAAGGTGTCCCKGCCCATGGCAAGGGGTTGGGACTGGAAGATCTTTAAGACCCTTTCCAACTCCTTAACATTCTATGATGATCCAAACTTGGGCAGYTCTCTCTGCCAAGCACACTCTGTCTTCCTGCTACTGAGAGTGTAAGGAACATATTTTTCTGCTTGTTCTTAATGCAAAAACTTTTCCACAAGCCTGACCCACCTCGTTTCTGAAGGCCCCTGAAAACTCTTTAAGGGAACATGGCCAAACAGGTTTCAAAAACATTCTGGTGGCCTTTTAGTTTGTGTCACAAGCATTACATCAATACAAATTGCATTTTTTAATAACAAATACTGCTCCATCTGAGGACAGGTGTGTGAATTGCTTGTCTGTGCTTGGTGGTTGAATTATACTGGTTACTTGGTCCAGTTTTTGGCTTTCCAGTGAATAGGCAAAGGCAACTAACCTAAACAAAACAGCCTGGGATTCTCTGCAAATGAGAACACTGTCTTCTCAGAGAGATTCAGAAGCCTAAAATTCATATTCCTGCCGAAGTAGTTTTGAGCACTCCAGTGGTTACATAAAGAGTTACAAATATTCCCAGGCCAAATTTTTGAGATTCCAACCAGGATGTGAAGTACTTTGGTTTAGGTTTTATTATTTGTTCAGCTGTATAAACCACATGGATTTTCTGTCAGTAACTATTAGACTGAGACCCTACTACCTTAGAATTAATATGCACCTTTTTTTTTTTTTTTAACAGGTGGCATTGAACAGAAAATTAATTTCTATTTGCTTTTCATTTGTTTCAGTTTCTGGTCACTTCAGTCTTGGCCAACTACAGCTATCTGTGCCAGCCAGTGGATTACAGCCGGAGTGAGCTGGGAATGAGGGTACAGTTCCAGAGAAAGCTTGCCTTAGGCCCTGCCCTCCTGTGGCTATGCAGGTTCCTTTGCTCATAAATAGCAATTTGCATGGCTAAGAAGGCTTTGACTCCAKTTTATTATTGCCTGCAAATCTATTCCACTAAATTGTCTGCCTCAACAAAGTTGCACTTTGCTTTAGTTCTCTAAAATTAATCATCTCAGTCAACACAGCCTTCTGAGTTTGCTCTCTGATCACTGCAGAGAAATCTTAGCAGCTGAAGATAGATGTGTGGTACAGACAGTGCAAATTGCCTCTGAAATAGATGGATTCTTTGCATGGACTGTCAGGATTCTGAGTGATCACTTTCAACAAGAAAAACTATTTTTCTATCCTCTGCTTTGCATGACAGAAATTTTATTCAACATTTCTTTTAGCAGAGAGGTTTGGCTAAAACTATTTCTTGCTCAGCACAGGGGGTTGGGTCCCACCAGTTTTGCCTTTCCAAAATGCTGYATGAGTTTTTTCTGTTCGAATTTGGAGTTACAATGCTTTGCTTTGAACAGATGCAAGCGTCATACTACCTTTTCAGTTTTTCAGAGACTTGCCATCTGGAAGAAAAAAAAAAATCAAACAAACCAAATGCGAAAAACGAAAAGAACCGGTTAATTTTCCCCTTTTGCTGCAAATCCCGGGTGGGCAGGGCTGCGGTGCGTGGTTGAAAATGTGCTGATTTTGGGTAACTTTCTAACCGCCATGCCTTGTGCTGCCCAGCAGATGGCAAGAGTGTGTTGGTGGTTCTTCTTCTCCAAAGTCATCGAGCTGCTGGATACGGTAAGGAGGGCTCAGCTCCACAGCGGGACGGGTGCTGCGAACAGAGAATTCCTTGTGAGGAGGGGCTGGGTGGCTGGATTGTCCTGGGTTGATCCTGTATTGATCCTGTATTGATCCTGTATTGATCCTGTATTGATTTGCTGCTTGTCTCCATCCCGATGGCTGCACACGCTGCCTCCCCAGTGCCCTCCCTGCAGCTGGGCACAATGCTGGGGGAGAGGCTTTATCCCAGCTATTGCCAGATGGGGCCCCAAAATCTCCRCTGCTGGTGCCACACAGGTTCTGCCATTGCCTGTCTGACTGATTAGCAGTGGTTAGTGGGGCACAAAAGGAACTGTGAGTGGACAAGTCCCGGCATCTCTGCTGCCGTGGATTATCCCGGAGCTGTGCGCTGAAGGTTTKTGTCCTGTGGGGCATTGAAAGCCCAGCTCTTTGTAGCTTTTCTTCAGGCCTCCTCCTGCACTATAAATGAACCAATTGAATGACTGGACAARGTCTCTGCTTGGCCAGCAGGAGAAAGTCCTGGCCTAAAACTTCCCAGTCTGCTGCTCTTTGGGGTGTAAGTTGACAGCACACTGAAACATGAATAAATACATGATTCCTGCCTAGGTCTATTGCCAGGGGTTTGGCCAATCCCTCTCTGTTTGCATCAGCAACAAAAGCAGCTTTTGGCCAGGCCTGAGTCCCTGAAAAACAGATTCACTCTTTGGTGTGTGTGTGTGTATATSCATGTGCATGCTGAAATAGAGTGACCTGACGTGTTCATGTGGCAAAACCATGTTCTTTATGAAAGAGAATGGAAATTCTAGGAGGGTTTGGGCATTCAACACAGTGCTTTTACTGTGGGTCATTGTCTGGTAGCGGTAAACATCCAACCTATGTCCTGAAAAGGACCAGAYCCAAGCAGCTGGGAATTGTATGGAAGCTCAGTCAGAGTCTCAGATGTGTCTTCTTTGGACTTTGAGACCTGAATCCAAAGGTAAAAAGATTTGGGGCTTTGTGGAAGAAGTTCTGCCTTCTAGTTCCCCCTATAATATGTAAGTTTTACTGCATATATTGAGTTTCACCAGTTTTTGTCAACAGCAGAGAAAATGGGTTTGGGAGATTCAGAATCACAATTAACTATTTTTACAATGCTTTACTGTGGAATTTTTATCTAAACATATCAACTCAAGGTTTTTCTTTATCTGGTTTCTTTCAGGTTTTCTTAATTCTGCGCAAGAAACAAGAGCAGGTGACTTTTCTGCACGTGTACCACCACGGCTCTATGATCTTCAACTGGTGGTCAGGGGTCAAATATGTGCCTGGAGGACAAGGTATGCTTGTAAGAAATGCTTGTGTAAGAAAACCTTGTGTTTCAGGGCTTATTTTGGGCTGTGGAGGTTGTATTAATGGTGCAGATGGGCTGATTGGCAGGTAGGAAGCTCACCTACTTCCAAAGGTGTGAAAAACATGTGCATTTCAGATGATCCCATCTGCTCAGCTCTTGGGGCTATTTGTACTGCCATGTTCACTGCCTCATCCCAAATGAGAATGTGCCAACAGAGTCGGTTCAAACAGAAAAAAGTAACATCCTATGGAAGGTGAATATGTATCTCCTCCCAGAGCAGCTCTCCCTCACTCCCACTCGGAGGCCCTGGGGCAGCAGCCCAGCTTCTGGCTCTCTGTTTCCTGCTCTGAYTGTGCCCCTTTCTGGGCTGCATCCAGACCTCTGCTCCTTTTTGCTCAGCTGGAAGAGAAGCGTCTGTGTACTGAGCCACCCCAGGCAGACCTTGTACAGAATGCTGGGACATTCCTTTTTGAACACAGCCCTTTTGAATGGCCGTGACACCAGAATGCTGGGAACTGCTTGGGTCAGAAGTTCAGAAAGTCTCTGCTCTGYCTTTGAAGCTCTTCTCTGTCTCTAAACACTTGCTATGGGATGGATATATTGTGGATGCCCCAACCCTGGTAGTGTTCAAGGCCAGACTGGATGGGGCTTTGGGCAAGCWGCTCTAGAGGGAGATGTCCCGGGGTTGGGGCTAATGGCCTCTAAGGTCCCTTCCAACCCAGCCCATGCTGTGATTCTGTGTGCTGGAGCATGGGAKAAGCTGACATGCTTCCAAGGCAGAGCCTGCACACCAGCGGTGTCTGTGATGTGCTTTTTGAAAGCACCATCATAGTGGCTGTGACCCTTCACAGGGTTAGCCTGGAAGAGGTTTTGTGTCTCGTTCACCCTCACTTCTTCACTCCTCAGCCTTCTTTATTGGGATGCTGAACTCCTTTGTCCACATCTTCATGTATGGCTACTATGCCCTGGCCAGCCTGGGACCGCGGATGCGCCGGCACCTGTGGTGGAAGCGTTACCTGACCATCCTGCAGCTGGTAATTGGTTCCAAATGTTCATCCCTGCCCTTCCACGGCTCAGGTGTGATGCTCTCTGCTGTCTGGCACCTCCCTGGCTCATCCTCTGTTGCTGCCTGTGGCCCTCACATGCCACTCTGAGATGTGAGGCCACTGGTGACCTAATGTTGCTCCAAATGTTGCTTTCATAAGACAATTAAGAGGCCTTCAATGGCCATGTCAACTAATTACCCACAGCTTTGTAATAGGAAGGAGAGAGAAAAATTAGCAATTGGATTCCTCCTTTTTATGTAGTTTAKGGAGTACTGAACACCAAGCTTGGCTTTGAGAGATGGGGGACTAATTCAGGAAAGCTTTGCATTCTCAGTAGGACAACAGATTGGGAAGCCTTCAGTTTCTTCAGGAAGGAAGGGTGTCTCTAACTGCAGGCAAACAGGTGAGTTAAAAASAAATAGGCATGTTTTTCTCTAGAAAATCCCCTTGGATTTTCCTTCCATCATCTCTGGAGAAGTTACAAAACATGAAAGGGCTGTGTTTTTTCAAMGATATAGCATAAATACAATGATCCAGGCAAGGCCATTGGTTGTAGGAGTTTTTTCCACTCAAAGAGAGGTTTTGCAAACCATAAGTATGCATTTACAAGAGGATGTTGGTAAAATAGTGTAGTGAAGGTTGGTCCAGAATTCTCACTTATCCTGCATGGAAAAGGAGAACAAGAAAGCACTGCATGAAACAAAAAAAAAAGTATTTGTAATGCAAATTATGGCACAGGATAAAAAAAAGAATTACATCTTTTTGGTAGGTAGAACTCATTGTTTCAGGTATTGAGACAGGTACTGTATTTACTAAAATACAAAAAAAAAAAAGGATTAATGTTGAACATTTAAGTGAATCAAGGTAGTATCTGTAGTTCCTCTCTACAAACTAAACGACAAATCAAAATAATTTTGGTATAATAATCTGATTACAACTAGGGAAGAGGAATCTCCCAAGCTCAGTTTCCATAGTCCAACATCTCAGTTACTCCAYCATGGCAGAGAAATGGGCCAAGGGCAGGAGAGGGTGGATTGGTTAAACCTCCAGGTGTGATGGGCATCTGTGCTGCTGGGCTGGAATGCAGGTTCTCAGGATGTCAAGAGAGGCAGGCAGGTGATCCTTTGGGCTAGGACACTGCTAGCATGTTGTGATAGTTGCTGTGGTGGTCCCACTGGCCAGCTAGGGTGTATCTTGCATAGGCTCCATAATCTGGCTGTTTCTTTTTTCCACCTCTTGCAGTGCCAATTTGTGGCCGTTGCTGTTCATTCTTCCTACAACCTCTTCACAGAGTGCCCGTTCCCTGATGGCTTCAACATTGCAGTCTTCCTCTACACCCTCAGCCTCCTGGCTCTCTTCCTACACTTCTACTATCAGACCTACCTTAGGGGAAAGCGGGACAAGCTGACCTAAAGGAAATCAAAGAGGACAGCGAGCACAGTCTGATGAATGTGCACRTTCTCTGCTGCTTGTGGCATGGTTTCATGCAGAAAATGTGTTTGGTGGGTGCGTGTGAGGCTCATGTCTTGCCTTCAAATATCCCAGGTTAGGGAGAAAAAAGGACTGATGTWAACTCAGGGACTGAGGAACTGAGGAGCACACTTAATTAAGCTAAGGCCAAGCTAAACCAAGTGGTCACCAGCATAGCAGGCTTTGGGACATTTGTGTGAGAAGGTCGTTTTCCCTTCCATCTTTTAGCTCAGTGTCCAAGGTCTCTCAGCCAACTACAATTCCTTGCCTCTGTTCTTAGCTTATAGAGAGTTTCTTTGCATCCACAGAGCTATCTYAGCTAGGTGTTGTAGATCAGACAGCCTGGAAATGCCCAGGTAGCAGCAGCAGCCAGGAATCCACGAGGACTGCAGGRTGCACTCCCCTGGACACTGCATCCCACCCTGTCCTGCTAAGGAAGCTCCTGCTAGAACTGGGAGGTCCCTGATGGTTTAACTTTGTAYCAATGTAGGCAGGAAGAAAATTGGACATCAGGTTATCCGGCTGGACAGATGTCTTCACTGTCCTGAAGGTAAAAAAGGCATTATTAGCACTTCCATTCCAATAAGAAACTAGTGCAGTAAGAATCACCATGTCCCATTTTCTGGAATGCTTTTTTATTTGCCTTTGGTTGCTCTCATGACAATAGAGGATTTTACTGTAWGAAGATACTTGTTATTGCTCCTTAYAAATGCCATAATTGAACTAGAAAGAATAGATKGATGTTCCTTATTCATAACTCTTTTCCTCCAATTTGATATTATTTTTAATACTGCTGTTTTTAAGCATAAAGAGTTAACAATACCATAAACAACTACCTCCACTACCTAATAGTATAAGAATTAATGCAAAAGATATCAAATTATTTCATTGGGTAGTCCAAAGCTGCATAGCCTCACTGATTTTAATACATCACTAATTTGCTTCCTTTTTGCTCTTAAATCAATTATAACTACAATTTGGCACTTATATTCATCTGCAGACTGTTAAATACTGTTGAAGTTTTGATGTGGTAGTGCTTTGAAAATCCTAATTAAACTACAAAGTGGTAATTATTGATTGAATTCTGCTCAGTTGATTAAACCAGGTATTACAGAGTAGTGGTATTTTGTGAAACACRACTGTGTTGAAGGAGCGGGTTAGAACTAGTGATGTGGTGCATTGCCATTGCCAAGCCAAATCCACCTCTGATGTAAAGAAGTCCAACTGCACTGAGAATGTCCAGAGGACTAGAGCTTGCCTGAACCAGGCAAATGGATGTGCCTCAAAAAGCCCTGTATGCCCTAYACCGATCTAGAGTTGAATGGCTATAAAAACCAAATGCAATTTGCTCCTCACTGCTGTGTTCATAGCCCAGACCTTTCCTTCAGCCCCTCCATGCTCATTGGAAGATAAAACAATATTCTCCCATTCTGTGCCCTCTCCCCCTTCACACATATCCACAAAGGACTTGCTTTTGCTGCCACAATGRCACATCATAAATACCCTTCCTTTGATTTGGTCCATCTCTCTTCTGATTGTCTCTGGTGAGTATGAAAAATGCTGCATCTGTGCTAGTTGGTTTTCTTCCTGCTAAATATTCTCCCATGCTAATTAATAAATAAATAGTGATGCTCTTGCATACTGGAATTTTACTATTATTAGGATTTTAACTAGCAAATCYCTGGGTGGGTCCTTTATTCTTCCCTTTGCTTGGAAAGACAGGAAAACAGGATCTGCTGTATATCTAACATACTGTRTTCATGTGGAGGGTTTACCCTGGAGCCTTTCTAGAGCTGAAGGCTCAATGCAGGTAAAACTATTTCATTGCTTCTGTCCACTTAATGATTCATTWATGACCCTCTCCTGCTTAAACCATCAGTACATTTGGCCCTCTAGTTTCATGGTAGAGCTTTTCCTGCAGCTGGCTAGATTATCTCTGCTCACAAAGCAATCTAATGGTCTTTTTCCTATACAGGAGTAGGTTTCAATCTCAGTTTCCCTTCACCTAAACATTTTCAGAATGTTGTTACTAAGTTCAAAGGCTTCACTCATAATTTTATACCAGAGTAAGCATCAGGTATTTTGATTTTGCTTGATTCATGTCTGCTTAAAAATTAGAAATGAACAGGAAATTTGACTGAGATCACTCAATGCTTTCCCAATCCTTAAAATGTATGGATTTGTAAACATACCATTTAGCTTTCTTTAAAGCAGCCTGTGCAGCTTGATTTGTGTCTGTGTCTTTGTKTGATAGAGCAATGGATTCTGGAGTGTCCCTGGCCACGTAGGTGGTAACAAAACACGAGAGTACAAATTTGTCACCTGACAGCTTGAAGTGACTGATCACCTAAATCAGACACCGCTGTCACCATTTGTTCTAGACATTAAACCTTTGATTAATTCCTGTCCCTCTTCCTCAAAGCCTGAGTGAGTGGTCTGATCCTGCACTTTTGAATGAGTAAGAGCTTTTTGTTGGTGTGACTTTGATGGCATAGGATGAAAGTGAAGTATTTTCAGCTGGCTGATAAGGAGGGATTCAGTTTGCCCAAAAACACTATGMTTTCCATACAGGAACAGACACTGGCATGGAGCACAGCTGTCACAGAAGCACTGATGCAAGCAAAATTGACTTGTGAGGGTATTTGCACTGGCACTGAAGATAAAGCTGCAGTGGTATAGCTGAGTGGCTGTAGGCTGCTCCTTCAGATTGCACTTGCTTATCTTCATTCTCCTGCTTTAAAATTGRGTTATCCCAGCTGGAACTGTCCACCTGGGCCACCCTGTTGTGACAAAAACYTGAGAGCACAGGTTGTGCCCCTGGAATTTAACAGAGAATAAAGGCACCAGATGGGATTTCCCCCTTAAGATCAAGTCCCTGGAGTTAAAGATTGCACCACAGCAAAGCCCTGGAAGTTAAAAGGTGTGAAAATTATAATTTGCAAGCTTGGATGGTTCATGCTAGAGTCCAAAGCTTGGAGGATGAATTGAAAATACCCTGTTGCAGCTGGATTTGTGAAAAAACTCTGGGCCAAATGCTGAATCCACCAATATCAGTGACAAAGGCTGCAGATTTCTCTGCAGAGMGGCTGGCACAGCTGGGTGGAAAACAACATGCTCAGCTACACAGCCCTGCTGCTGGGAGCAGGCTGGAGGGTTATTCTATCTTAACAGATTACCTTTGAGGGCACAGTTGTGTGTAAGTCTCCCCCTTACAAAATGTGGGTCATTAGACATTCTTAGAGTGGTTTACATGAACAAGATGTACAGCACAGTGTAAGTAGGCTCTTCAAATGAATAAGCTTGATATCTGGTAGTGCTCAGCATCTTTCCTGCTGTTCCAGTCAATGTAAATTATGGATGTTCTGATCAAATTACTTTTGAATTAACCAGACCATTTACTCAGTGCTTACTTTCTCTCTGAAGATAAATGAGAGGGATTCTCATTTTAATCAAAACAAAATACAGAAAAGAAAATCAATTACTATTTAATGCTTTTTCCATCCCTGTGTGATGGAAAGTTTCCAGAGGAACTTGGGCTTAAAATTGCAAAGCAATATAAAATGCAGCGACATGGTTGTATTTTAGCTATTAGATTTTTTTATATACTATCAGAAAATATGGCTCTGTGTATTTTTTTTAAAGGCAAAAGAATTACTCTAAACAATTAAGCAAGCAAAAGCAGAATACAGTAGATTGCTTTACACAAACAATAAAAATCTGTGGATACAGRTATGAACTACCTAGAAGCCAAACATTAAAAAAGATCAGCCAGCCCTATATATAGAACTGTGTGAATGTGCTGAATTCATTAATGAATAGCTTTGTGGATTAGGGCTTGATAGATGGAGTGCTCACATCCAGATGTTTACTGTGGTTTGTCAATGGCCTTGTACTTAATCCTCCTGGACAGGAAATACGAGTATTTTCTCTGGGGTCTTCCCTGGGGACTGTGGCAGTCTCCCTCTCTGGCCTGAATCATCTCAACACAGGATCAGGAATTAACCAAGTGGCGGAGGCACAGATTTGCCTTTAACCCCTTCGGTTTCCTCACAGCTTCAGATGATTTCCTCACCATCTGCCACAACCTCGCTATTTAATCAACAAATGGAGAAGGAAGAAAGAAGCCATCCCTGTCACCCTGGGGTCCCTGTGCCCACAAAATGTGCTGAGAGAGACACATGGAGTCCCTTCAGGGTAGAGGAGGAGGGCTGTGGGTAGCCTCAAGAGATTGGTGTGCCTCTCTTCGCCTCTCAGCAGTGTATTTTTATTTTTCTGGTGCTGTCAGKGACAGCGATGGCCCAAGAGGGGTATCTGTGACAAAACTGGATGTCCCCAAGGTGTCTGGGGTTCCAGAGGGTGTAGTGTATGCCTGAGTATGTTTGAGTATGGGGAGGTGCTCCTGCAGACCATCCCACTGTTCATTTCTCAACAAGTGAGACCTCTCCATGGGATGGGTCTTTCATTTTGCTGTGGGACACTGACGGACAGCTCCCAGCAGCCACRTGTGCTCTGGAATGGCACAGTGGGAGCTGGAGTGGCAGTGGGAGCTGCAGTGAATGTTAAGTTTTGGTGTGGATGTGCTGCAGTGTAAGGGACTGATTTCCTGTACTTGTGGTTGAGAATACTTCTAGCTAAATAAAAGTATGGGTTTCTTTAACAAATTAATTTCAGGGAGTGCCTGGTTAAAACATTAGTAGCACATGTCAGCACTATTCTTCCCTATTCTGCATGTCATCCTTTCTGTCCAGTACCTTGGCTTTCTGCTGCTCTTCAAGAGAGTGTTCAGGGTCTTCGAAATGAAAAAAATTTAAGGCCATTAAATATTGTCCTTTGCAATTTCCTGCTTGCAGTAGATGCTTCTTCCCCTTTAACATTATCCTCCCCCTTTTTCTTGTCCATTTTCTCTGCTCTTAATTTGTACCCAAACACACAGACACCATAGTAGATTCTCAGACCTTGTAAAGCTGCAAAGAAGCTAGTTACAAGTTACTCAAATGCTGTACAAGCAGCTGCATTTTTCTGATCCATCAATTAAAAATGTACATTTTCTTCATGGGGTTTTCTGCGATGCTTTCATCCAGGTGAATTTGGGCATGTCTTTCTTTTCATTTGCACTTCATCATAATCCCATCTGCCTTAAAATTCAGGATGTGAGCACTGCAACTTGATACTTAGACATGCTAGAAACTTGAATGAGAAGTTAAATTCAGCGTGGTCTCTCCCAGGCATTCCCTGTTACTGATGAAGGAATGGCAGAACSGATACAGCAATCTGAGAAGCAGCAAGTTTCCTGCTCCTCTCTACGCTTTATTCTGCTCTGTGTGGTGCCCACCAACACAGATGTCTGGGGWTGTTTTGTCCTGAAATAAATGGTTATTCCTGAGGCAATGTGTGGAGGGAGAATGCCTTGCATTACAGGARCTGACAGAGCTGGAAAACCAGAATAGTTTTTGAGTGTGGGAGCCCTTCTGTGGTTGTAATCMCTGATATGCACTGGTAGCAGATCAGCCGCTCCTTGTTGGGGTGCACAGGTATGTCTGTGGGGTGTCTGTATTTAGTGTGGATTTTGCTACTCCCAAAGAGTGTTATACTACATTTGGCACATTTCATATGTTATGCCTTTAAATAACTCCAAATCCAAGCGAAGTTATTTTCACAGGACTTATCTTCTAGATAGTTTTGCTTCTGGAAATTACTTGTGTGWGTAAAGTGGTTCCTTTACTTCACTGTCAAAGCAGCAAAACAAGTTGGCAATTCTGTGCTCAGTTCTCAGAGGTAAATTGCAAGCCACCACTTACAGAAACGGTTTAATACAATTATGGTTTTCTATTTTGGCAGTGCTTTTAATATCTTTGGGCATATTTCATAYACGGAGGTAATGTTATAAATTAAGGGAAAACCACTAGTCACAGTGAATCTAAGTGAGGTGTTTGATGGAGCTATGAGTATTAACATAAGGATTTAGGAAAAAATGYCACTGCAGTGATGCCAACTGGAAGGCAAAATGGTCACACTCAATTTTGTTAGAAAAGCAGAAACTCCACAAGACTGGAATGGTATATATACAGGTTCTAATCCTACAGTATTTATATACATATTTAGTGTATTCCCCTGCAGACCTTGAATGGAATGGATGAGTTCATGGCTTGAATATAACAAATGATATCTTAGCATCTATTGTATTACTGAACTGTAATTGAAGTCATTGCGTAAAGCTGCTTGTCTCTCTCCAATAACATGTGCATCTACTGAAATGTTTCAGCCTTGGATGTGGGTTTAAGAATGGATCAACGGGGAAGTGTGACCCCGTTTGCAAATGTTAA